GAACTACAGTGAACTGGAGCAAAGTGTCTTTCAGTCAGAAAGTGGAAAGCACACGTCTCTGTCAGAGCACTAGAATCCACGTGAGGAGTTTATATAGTGAAAGATCCACACACTTACTTTGGTGACTAAAAAGGGCATTTAAGCTAAATTCAGACCTCTAAGCCCAGGACAGCTGGATCTATAATGTCCACATTCAATCAGCACATATAACCTAACTCTGGAAGTACTTTAAGCTTATTATCTGTGCAGCCTCCATCTCAATATGGTTTGAAAATTCCTTTACATGACTAAAGTCAATTGATGCAGAAAAGAAGCAGTTCCTCTAGGTGCCTCCTGAGTTCTGTTGCAGTCTAAACATAAGAAGAGGCACTTAATTTGTCTCTTAGAACCTGGGTGAACCCGTTCCTCTGTTATTCTCAGAAACAAAAATACTTGCACATGTGACTGATTTCAGCAAAGTCTGGCAGCAAGTCATCTTCATAAAAGAGGTGGAAGTGAGACAGGCTTGCCTTCTGGTTAGGGGAAAGACTGAGGATATGGGTTCAAACCGAGCTTCAACCTCAGAAGACCCAAACCCAAATCCCTCACTCCTACAACTGTGCGCTGTCTGCTATGCAGCAGAACAGGTTACTACCCATTCCAGTACTGGATCAAAACTAAGGCTATCAGACCAGAAAGGTGGTTCGTGCTTGCATGGAGGGCAGCAGCTGGGGGTGTCACACAAGCAAAACACTATCTCACTCCACAGACAGCTTAGCTTGATGGGATTCAGCTTGAAAAGGGAACTCCGTGAGGGTTTTTTCTGACCAAGCAAATATGCAAAACACCAGCAAATGCATTTCAAATAGAATATTTTCTGGCTGGATAGGCACATGAAATACAGAACACTGTCTCCTCTCCTGAAAACAAATGAGAAAACTTTCTTACCCAAATTTACTTAGGCTCCAATGAGAAGCAGAAGTCGAAATGCACCCTGTGCTTAAAGCTTCCTACTGGTTAGCACGAGACACTTCGGCACATCCACTCTTTGGGCTCACCTGCTAAAGGTATCTGTTTTGCATCAATGATAGGAGATGCTGTGAATCATCAACACTTCGTATTTGAGCATGGCAATATAATACAGAGGTGTAAGTGTGAACTCTGAACCCTGTCCACTGAGCTCAGGTCAGTCTAGCACAGTTTGTTTAAGAACTTCTTTGTTTTCTTTTAATTAAGTCTTTACCATTCAGTATTATTACTTCTTATTTGCACACCAAAATGTGTGCACACTAATGTATCAGAAAAAAACTCTTTCTGTAGGTCTTATTGTTTGACACGCTGTACTACTTTCTTTCAGTCATGCAAATCTTACTATCAAATACCTGCATATATTGGCTCAGATTAAAAAAAAATGTATGTTTGTATAATGAACTTAAAAGAACAGTTCTTTCCATATTTCAGCCTGTTGTTGTATTGGGTTTGTGTGGCAAGGTTTTGGTAGCAGGGGGGGCTACAGGGGCGGCTTCTGAGAGAAGATGCCAGAAGCTTCCCCCGTGTCCGATAGAGTCAGTGCTAGCTGGTTCCAAGTTGGACCTGCTGCTGGCCAAAGCCGAGCCCATCAGTGATGGTGGTAGGGCCTCTGTGATAACATATTTAAGAAGGCCGGGGGGGCGTGGTGAAGACCATGGTGAGGCAGGTTGTGTCCCTGCAATTCATGGAGATTAATGGTGGAGCAGATATCCACCTGCAGCCGGTGATAGCCTTCCACACCGGAGCAGGTGGATGCCCAAAGGAGGCTGTGACCGTGTGGAGAGCCTGCGCTGGAGCAGGCTCCTGGCAGGACCTGTGACCCTGTGGAGAGAGGAGCCCATGCTGGAGCAGGTTTGCTGGCAGAACTTGTGACCCTGTGGGGAACCCACATGGGAGCAGTCTCTTTGTGAAGAAGTGCAGCCTGTGGGAACGACCCACGTTGGAGAAGTTTGTGGAGGACTGTCTCCTGTGGGAGAGGACCCCACACTGGAGCAGGGGAAGAGATTGAGGACTGATAGAGTAGCTTGGTGGGCAACTGGCATCCAGCCAAGGTCAACCCACCACAGTTGTACAAAAGTAATTCTGATTCCAGTGACCTTATTAAGTAGATCTGACTATCAGCCGCTAAGACTATGATCCAAAGTCACCGACATTCAAGGTAGACAGGTTTTTTGGAGATTATACTCTTTGTTCCAATACTCACTTTGGGCCTGATTCAAACTAAAATAGGGATTATAAATATTCTGTTTTGTAAATTCAAGAAAGTGTATCTGTTAAAAACTTCCATAGTTGAAATAATGTTGTAATTTAGGTAAGATTCATGAATTCTCTACACCAAACTGAATGAAAGGCAGAGCAAGTGACACCCCCACATACCAGCAGGTGAGCGGAAAACAAATCTATAAATTCCATAGTGTGTTCTGGAGTCTTTCAGTGAAGCCCACTCCTTAAAATGAGGCAAGGCTGGGAGCTCACCACTCGTTGGCAGGCAACTGCCACAAAGTCAAACATCCCTGCAGTGTCACCTTCTGACACCCAGGTCATCTGTCCCTTCCTGCAGAAGACCCACATGTACTTCAAGTCACATCCTGGAGAGAAGTGTGCAATGCCTTTTTTTTTTTTTTCCCTTTTCTTTTTTCCCCCCTTTTTTTTTTTTAAATAAATCAAACCCTACCAAGCCAGCCAAACACTACTGGAAATTTGGTAATTTTCAGTTCACTGTCTTGCTACGTTCAACAAAGACAATGAAATATCAAAGCAGTCATACACACAAACTTCATAAAATTCCACATAATTTAATTACTATACTGTAATGAGTAAAGGCATCTACTGTCACAATATTTCGTACCTCTGCATGTTAGATAAAAATGTATCAAATTCAAAAATTTTGGATACAATTAAATATTTTTTTTTTAAATTGCATTTTAAAGTCTTAAATCACACATTTAAAGATACTGCTATTCAGTCATTTAGCAAAATTAAATTGGACAGCTCAGAAATTTAAAATAAGGCTCATATCTGGGTTATATTCCCTTGGCATTATACATCAAAGCCTACATGCCCTTAACAATATTTTTCTAATTGCCTCAGAAATTAAACTACTTATGCGAAGATGCATCACATTTCATATTTTCAAACAACTAACATCCTTCTAGAAAAACAGAGGAAGCTTGAAAGAGGCCTCTTTCTGTTATGTATAGGCACAAACCTGAACACAAACAAATACAAGCAATTTCACTAAATACTTTATCCTGATACCAATAGTTCTGTTAAAGCAATGACTCTGAACTATGGTGTGTGCGAGAAGTTCTGGAGGAGCAAAGGGAAGTAGAAAGAAAAGGAATACATTAAATGCCTTTTTTTTTTCCCCATAAGGAAGATGACAAACTTTGGCAAATGCTGCCTTGAAGGCTTAAATTATAAGAATGCATAGGAAAAAAAAACATAACTGTTTTATCTCTCTCTATTAGAAGTCTTCAATTTCTGGTACTGAAAAAGTTAATGAAGAATAATTTTAAAATATTTTCCCAGGAAGAAGTAAATATTGTCAGAAGTGGGTTTTTTTGTTTTGTTGGGTTTTTTTGGTTGTTTGTTGTTTTTTTTTTTTTAAACTGCTATGTTCTGTTTACTATCCATTTATGATCTAATTAAAAACAAACAAGCTTATTCATGTCAAACGTGAAATACAAAATTTTCTTTGCAGCAGTCTCTGAAGGCAATGGAACATCAATATAAAATTTGGATGTGTTCTTTTTAAGGTCCATGTAATTGCATCTCGTTTCCCTTTATTTAATGTTTCTGTGTGTCACACACAAATAAAAGAACTACTGAAAAGCATAGATATTTTCATTTCCAAGACTCATACCAGATCTTTAATAACTTCTTATACAGAAGAGGTTCTAACTGATTAAATACTGGACAGGTATTAATGCCTTATATTCCACTATGAAATGAGAAACAAAATAGCTCCTCACTTGGTAACATCATTAAGGATATAAAGCAGCACACAGAGCAAATTTTGTTCATCTGTATACCTTATCCTTTGAGATAAGAAGGTGGCATGGGGAGGAAACATACTTTGTTAATAAATAGAATACTTCAAATTATACAGCAATTGTAGAAAACTGTGAGACTCACATACACTTGGTCCAGAAAGCATCATGTAAATATTTCTAGCTGATTTTTTTTGTTGTTGTTCGATAACATCGCATTATATAAAGTATCATTTGTGGCTTAACTTGTTATCATGGAAATATTATTAATCTCAATCACATTCCAGTGGAATGTACTATTACAAGTTAACTCTAATAATCATTTTACATTTATTCTGTTAGATGACTGCACTGAAATACAATTAAGTATATGCTGTGCTGTCATATGCACAAAAAACCCAATAACTAGTCTTCATTTTACCTTACATGCAAATGTCTCCTTTAGTAATAAATCAACAATGTTCATAAATCATCTGAGATTTTCTCCATTTTTAAAAATATAAGTTTAGATTACTTATCATACAGGAAAACTTCCTAAATGTTCTTGACCTTTTCCAGTTCAGGTCTTATCAGGCTTCATAAAGCATCTCCTAAATCGAACTTCTCATGTTCAGTATCTAAGTACACAATTCTGAGCCATTTAAGTTGCTTGGGCAACTTAAAGGAAGTTTTGCTTGAGCAATAACTAAAGAAATTATTATGGTGAATTTAAGGTGGCAAAGCCATAGAAATACACTCTCCAAATACCCATAGTCGGTCTACATGGTACCATACTGGATAATAATTAAAAAAAAAAAAAAAAAAAAATTACAGACCCCAGCTGACTTTTTTCCGCCCTCCAAAGAACATATCTTTTGGATTAAGAAACATAAATCATCATTTAACCTCTTACTTGATGACAGTGAATAATATCAATAGTATATTATTATTATATTCTGCATTCAAAATATTCTTAATTTTTAATTAGCCATAAAATCACATATTTTAAAAATTACTTACATTCTGCATATTTCTGAAGCTGAGAGAACTCTCCAGGACTAAGGTTAACCCACTTCTCCTGGCTCGTCATACTGGCAGTAAGGGTCCTTGTTAAATATCAGAAAAACATTCCCTTTGACCCAGGTAATATAAACTCCATAAAGATTTGTAGCTTCAGTTCACAGCGCTTGGAGACTGGAGCGATGGCATCAGTCTATGTGGATGACGTTTTTGATGCTATGAACTGTTCCCAGTGTGTTGGTTCAGTGGTGAGTTACAGCACTGTTAAAAGAAGATCAAGCATTAGAAGCATAAATACAAGTTTTATTATTGAAATAATTGTAACTGACAAATATTTTCTTACGTACAGTTTCACTCAAAAATCTTTCCACACAATATTTGTTCATAAATAGTTTTATATGTGTTTCCAAATTTTATTTTTATTATTCCAAATGCTTTTGTGGAGCACTGATAATCAAAAATTATCAATTGTTTATGATCAAATTGTATCTGGACACCTTGTGTGGGGAAGTTTCTGTTTCAGTAACAACCACTGCAATAGTAGATATTATCTACCAGTAAACTTACTTCCCTATGGTTTTAAAATGGGATTCAGGTAACTGGGTTTGTATCCAATTATGCTGTTGTACAGTGCTCTGTGGCCTTGTCAGAAATGTTCTGAAGCTTCTAACTCCCCATGTCAAAAATGAAATGGATTCTGCATTTTGGTGAGAAATTCACGAGCGCCATATAAATATTAACTATTCTAACAAAATAGTAGGGGGTTGATTTCTAGAATGTAACAACATTGCTGAAGTCACTACCGAAAATCAAATATAACTGTAGGCACCATTGCAAATCGGTTCGGGGGGGGGGAGGATGGGGACGACAGAGAAAGAAGAGAAAACTCAAACTGTGGGTGCCATCTCATTCCAATTTATGCCATTTTTACCTCCACAGGACACACCTTACAAAGGCAATGCATTACCAACACCACTCCTTGCACAACAGGTAGGATACTTGTCATCTAATTTTAGCCATGTGGAAGTCAGGTACCTCATCCGAGGTTGTCATCTAGGGCTCGCTCTTTAATCAGCAGAAAGAGACAGGTGGCCCAGACAGCAATTAATCCCTCCAGTTTCAACATACTCTTAAAATGTGATAAATTGCCTTCTTGTGGTATTTATCTTTCGCTATTGATTACAGAGGTTGCCTAGATGACAAGTTTAGACTAGTACGCTAATTTTAGACCATAAATGGAATCTCTTTATACGCCTAGCAATGTGTCATTTACAAGGGTCAAATTACAAGCAGAGCAAAGGAAAAATTCAGACAAGAAGAGACTGACACAGTAATGGAAAGAGTACTAAGGAGAAAGATGTTGGCAGCTGGGACACGAGAAAAAAAGATGTCATGAGGTGGGAGAAAAAAAAAAGAAATAGAGAAGCTAGGAGCAGAAGCATATGAAAAAAGATACATTAACCCAATGATAGACAACATTTTTTTTTTTTTCCTCTGTCTTACATATATGAATATTGTTCCTGGACAAAGAAATTCAGGAAGACACATTAGTCTGAGGACATGCTTTCATTGCTCTCAGGCCCTTCTTGGTGAATGATTTGAGTATATGGATGAGCAAGTACGACTAGTTAAATACAATAACAGACTACTTGGCAGCTGCCTTGTCTTTAAAATTTGAACCAGAAGAGATTCCTATGATCTTCACCTCCTCAAGTTAGAAAAAAAAAAAAAAAAAAGGATAAATTAGAAGAGGTAAGATCTAGAAACACTGATTGTACAAATAACAAAAGCTAATAGGAGTATGCACATTGGGATGGAAAAAAGCAAAATTAATGTGGACAATGTTGGCCAAGTGCAAGGCACATCAGTGCTCAAACATCAGTGAATCAACATCAGCGCCAGAAAAAGGGCATTAACAACAAAAGCTAAAAGTGGTATTCAATAATAGAAGCTATCATTCTGTCTTGAGAACCTCAGTCCTCTTATTTATGACAAGAAAAAATAACTATGGTCAACAGGGACATTTTAATCAAATTAGAGATGTTTCATTTCTGACAGCTGATTAGATTTTATTGAAGACAACTTTATTTTTTCAAATAGATACATTTTTTCTCATATTCTTGACAACTGATTAGGTTTTACTGAAAATGGTTTTATGTTTGCATAATTGATTTAATAGAACCCAAATTTTCTACCACTATTTCATCCAGTATTACTTTTTGTATTGTTAACTGCATTAGCTTCATTACCTGTAAAAGCTAACATGCTGTACGGTTAGAGATTATCTCTATTATTTAATACAAGTTTTTGTGATAAGCAGCCTACCATTAGAATTCCTATCGCTAGCAAGATAATAACTGCTGCAGGCTCTAAACTGATCGATCTGTTCACATGCATACCTTTAGCTGACCACTGTCTATAGGGTTTGCTGTGTACGCAGTACACCGGCATTGAAATGGGACTTCCCTTTCTCCAACTTGAGATCGACACAACAACCTCGGATAGCCTTTCGCCTTTACCAGATGCACAGGCTCTACTGCCTATAAACAATGTTGTCGGAAAAGGTACAAGACCCGAATGAGATGGGAGCAATGGAAAAATGTAGTATGGGCATGGCAGTCCACAGGAGAGAAGATGCAGCCTGTGTGGAAGCCAGCAGAGTTATTACGGAAGATACAACAGAGTTTAAAGGCTACGTCTTGGAAAATGTCTTCCTTCGAAAGGGGAGACTGCGGGGGATCTAGCAGAATTAATTTGCCAAGTTTAATCTGGGCACAGTAATGGGGAGGTAGGTGGTCCTCTGAGGATGGCTACCTCGTGTTTGGACTGCAGCCAGGTCCTGTGCAGCACCTCAGTGTGGGTGATGCAGGAATATGCACAAACACAATGGGGAAAATCTTGGCAAAAGGAACCTTATAGAGGCTTCCTTTTTTTAGTTTCCTATTAGGTTCTGCTGCATGGGAATCCTAATAAGGAAAGGTCTCTGCTGCCTGCATCCTTTAGATTTCATAGTTAAACCTTTTACAGTGGCATTTTCCTTTTTTTTTTTTTTATAGATAATACTGGTATAAGAAATAAAGCAAATTATATAGATGCTAAGGACAAAAGCCATCAATGCATATGATGAATGCTCTTTGTTAAGGTCAACATTTCAAGATCACCTATATCTTATACAAATATCTTAATTTGTGTAGAAGAAAATATTAGTTTACATTATCTTTTTCAGTAGTGTTTAATTTAAATGCATTCCCTTGCACTTTATTTTAGCGCTCTTTCTCTCCATACTCCAGGAAGGTCATGCAGTGAGAAACCTATATGTAAGTACATGAAGAGGAAAGCAGTAACAGGGATAATAGTACCACGCAGGAAAAAAAAAAAAAAAAAAATCTTGAACTAAAACATTGATCAAATATGCTTGCTGGTGAGCAAAATAAAGACCAGCAGCACTAAACAGATACAAACAGTGATTTGACCTCTCCATGCAGAGATAAAGTACTCTGAAGCACACACTACAGCATTCAGTTAAGATACACAGGATGTCAGGTAGGGAACTCTCCTACTGATCATCTGAGGGTTTGACCTATTCCAGGAAACTCAGATCTGTGCACACATTTTGTTAGTAACTGCTTAGGGAAGATTCATAGCCCTCTCAACCAGACACAAAGCAGACCTCACAAATAAGAAAAATTAGAAACACTACATTAATAAACCTTTCAGTTTATCACAAAAATAATTAGGAAAAAAACCCAAATCTTCTTCCACTGTCCACTGACTATAATAAGCCTCAGAATTCCAGTCTCACTTTTATAACATGTTTTTCTTTCTGGATATGAAAGTTTATTAAGTTTTCTGTCAGGCTTCCTACCAGGCCACATACCCAAACTAGGAAGCAAAGCTTTGTTAAAAACCCTACAAATCAAATTACTTAGCATTCAGCCAACAATGCTAACAAACTTAGATTTCCAGGAATTCCCCATGCCACTGCAATCCTCAGTTGCTCTACAGAAACCAGGCTGAGAAGTGGAGAAGAGAAAGGAATACACAATGGAGGAAAAAACCAAATATAAAGACACATCCCCTACACACCAACCTCAACACTCAAATCATCTAATTACACCTCGTAAAGTCCTCACTGCAAGGAAAGAGGAGTTTTTGGAGAATATGGGGGGGGGAATTACTTTAAGTCCTACAAAACCAATCCACAATCCTGGGTTCAGCTTTGACCTTCAATTCCAGAGGATGACTGTGTCCTGTGCAAAACACATCCAGCTCCTCAACCAAACCACCTCCCTCTGTTTCCTCCTGAAAGGCAGGAGGGCTTCTTGTGGGGACCATGCTCACTGCCGTGACTAAAGCATGACACTCTTCTTAACACATGCCTTAAGGTACTTTTCTGTGTTCACCGTAACAGGGAAACCTAAAACAGCCTAGAACCTGACTTTTGGAATTACTCAGCCATTTTTTGCTTTCTACCAGCCCTTTCATAATGTACATCACGCATACAATTTCACCATTAATTGCTAGTTGCTCCATAAAGGGAACACAGGGTAAGGCTGATGGCAAGAAGGCATGCGGGTGACAAAATGACAGATCTTCAGTGAGCATCTTCCATGCTATACAAGACTGAGACCTTCAAGTGCTTTCCCCCACTTCCCTCTGCTTTAGTATGCTTATGTTTTCATTAGGAAAGAAGAAAGGAAAAAAAAAAAGGAAAAAAGAGAGAGAAAGAACACGAACCCTAAGGAAGCAAGTTTTCTTCCAGGGAAACTACAGTTCTCCACAACATGACTGATCAGTGACTTCTGCCTGAACAATAAGAATAAATAACACAGAATACTTTATACCTTAATTGCTATGGAGGCTGAAGCAATTATGTTTTTCAAGAACTATTCTGTACAGAATGTACTTGGTATTTCCTTCACTTGAGTCCTACACCTTCACCACAGTTAGCTGGATCCTGCGATTTCAATGTGGGTGACATCACGGATTCTCCAAAGGAGAAATTTTACATGTCAGATACCACATGCTGACACATACACACAAAACAGTTTTCTCTATTAACTCCTGCAA